CCTTGACTTTTTATTCACTTCTTGTGTTTTGACCTTGGCTTTCTCTTCGTATCTGTTGACCTGACCTTGGCTGTCTTCTCATCTCTCCTAGCCTGATCCTTGCTGCTGTCACACCTCTCCTGGCATGACCTTGACTGTCTCCTCACCTCTTCACCTAATATGAATTTTAACTTTCTCCTCCTTTTTTTCTTGGTAGTGATTTTGATAACAGTCCTGAATGGACCGAAATGCCAATTAAAGATTTATCTCCAAGTTGTGTAAATCTACAGTAAGTACCAAATGAAAATAATATTCTGCACATTTGTCAAGCAGGACTTGAGGGATTTTACTTGACTGGCACCTACCAGTAATATTTTTTTAGTTGCAATCAGGTTAAATTTAAAGTGAACTTAAAAAGCTTGTTCTCCATGTAAAATGCCTTTTTAAATAGTGTGCTTATTGCTAATATAGTGTCTTTATGGAAATTTAAAATGTTTTAACAAACTGATGTTTCAACTTTCTGTAAATGATATGTTATGAAGTATTTCTTTAAAGTAAGTGTGGGAAATAATGGATTGAGCTGAACAGTAACAGTGAAGCAAACTCTGTGCAAGAGTTCATATATAGACATGACAGGTTTTAGTCGTGTCAATTGGTTAAAAGAGGTGGGACTAACAGCTGAAGCTCAACTCCTGCAAACTCGTATAAAAAAATTACAATCAAGCTCTGAAAGTTCACATTGATCTGGACTGTTGGTATTTTGAACTTATGATCCATACTGCCTAACAGATTATGAAAAATCTAAGAGAATATTTCAAGGAATAATTTTCAGGGTAAAACATTCATGTACAGTGGAACCTCGGTACTTGAACTTAATTTGTTCCAGAAGACTGTTCAAGTGCCGATCCGTTCAAGTATCGAAGGAATTCTTCCTAATCAATTTTCTTATTGGTTGGCTGTTATCACTAATCTTCATAGGCCCCACGATGACTCATTTATGCAAATACATGTAATACAAAAAACACCAAAAAATGCGAAGAAACATGAAATAGTTTACAGCAAAGTTCTGGCAGGTCGTGTTTGTTTGTCCAAGTGCCAAGCTTTGTTCGAGTAGGGAGCTGTTTGAGTACCAAGGCTCCACTGTATAGCCCAAGGATGAACTTATCTATGAATATATTGTAGTTAGCACTGTATAACCCTTGTGGGTTTAGCACTTAGTTTTCATTATAATAATAATAATAATAATATGTATATTGTGATACTGTATAGTTTGTATTTTTATCTGTTGAATACAGAATTATAAGAAAGGTAAATGTAAAGAATGTGATACAGAATACAGATTAACATAGTATTGACTGTCAAATTAAGTATGGTACAGTATCTTAGTGGGTCCTTCAAAAGTAGCATGAGTGAATATTAGGTATATATTCAGTAAGTATAATGGGGAGTGTGTTGTCTGGCACTAAACTGGTTAACCATTTGCTCTAGGGGAGTTGCTGTAGTGTATCTCCAGGCACAAACAGCGTAGGTGAGGTAAGGACAGATTAAATAATAGCACAATGTAAGTGGTTCTGTTTGAGGCACATAGTAACGTATATTGAAAGGATGCCAGCTGATTTGGATACCTTTTGTGTTTTTTTTTTTTTTTTTTGGCTTGAAATCAAACTGGCAGAGATCGAGTATATTGTGACACTAGGAAAGCACATACTCTCACGTGAAATATTTTTTTGGTGATTTTAGATAAAAATAACAAGTTAGATATTGGCCTATAGTTATTTGCATCGGCTGGGTCTCCTCCTTTATATACTGGGGTACCCCTTGCTATTTTAACCCTTTCAGGGTTTCGGCCGTACTAGTACGGCTTACGCACCAGGGCTTTTGACGTACTAGTACACCTAAATTCTAGCGCCCTCAAATCTAATGAGAGAAAGCTTGTAGGCCAACATATGAAAGAATGGGTCTATGTGGTCAGTGTGCGCGGTATAAAAAATCCTGCAGCACACAGTGCGTAATGAGAAAAAAAAACTTTGACCGTGTTTTTGGATTAAAACAGTAACTTTGCACTGTATTTTCGTATGGTATTTATTGTTGTATTCTAGTTTTCCTGGTCTCATTTTATAGAATGGAAGACATATTACAGAAATTGAGATGATTTTGACTGGTTTTACAATGAAAAGTACCTTTGAAATTGAGCTCAAAGTAGCAGAAATGTTCGATTTTTACCAAAGTTCAAAAGTAAACAAATCATGCTATGCGTCCAATACACGTCAACTGGTGAGTCTAATGTTCTTTCACAAGTGCGCTGATATTATTTATACCATTTCTACACTAATGCAGTGGTCTGCATAACAGTAAATCTTCTATTTTTTTGTGAGAATAAAAATTCAAAATGGAAAGAAAAAGATTGTAAGAGGGGCATGGGGACGTGACTAATGAAAAGAGGAAATGTTATTTTAGTACCAGGAATGTCTTTCTTGTTTATTCTGGACTCTGTTCGGAAATTGGCATCTTTTGAAATTTGTGTGAAATTGGCAAAATTGCTAAATTCTGACCACTGTATTGGATAGTTGAAATCGGTAAATGGGTGGTTTCTTTTACTCATTCGATAGAAAAAATAGAGTTCTAGCGAAACAGTTATGATTTTTGTCGACTAGTACACTGGAATTGGCCGAAAATAGGGCTCAAAGTGGGCAAAATCGCCGATGCATAAACATCGTTGAGACCGCTAACTTCGCAAGAGCATAATTCCGTAAGTTTTTCCATCAAATTTCATACTTTTGGTGTCATTATGATCGGGAAAAGATTCTCTATCTTTTCATAAGAAAAAAATAATTTTTTTTTTTTTGAAATTTGGGCGACCCTGAGAACAAGTCTCTGAGAGGGCCTGTCGACCCTGAAAGGGTCGGTGTTGGTTTCTAAAGATTTGTTGAGCAATGTTGTAGTGGTGGGTGATAGCACATGAGCTGCTGTTTTGAACATTAGCTAAGTTTCCTGCCTTGCTGAACCCAGATAGAGTTGAACCCAGAGAGAGTTTGGAAAACTTCCAAAGTCTATCTCAAGTTCCAGTGCTTGGGTATTGGAACTTGGGATTTTGCTAATTTGACATCAATAATTTGTAAAACATAAATATCACTGGCACATTTATGCCACTGTTATCAGCAAGTGATAATTTTTGCCAACTAACACTAAAATTATAAGTTTTTATCTGATTTTGTTGCTTTTTGTTTCATTCTACTTAGAAAAGAAAAAAATAGACTCTCACTCTGTAAGAATTTTTATTTTTGCCATACATACAGGAAATTTGATTACTCAGTATGCCACAGTTAAAGGGCTAATACTGTATACTATAAGCAATAGTTAATTGCTTATTTAATATAGTAAACTTAGTCTTGGCCTTTCAAATGAATGCTCTCTTACTACTAATTTTTAATGTAATATTTTTTTTAAATATGACCTTTTAACCCTTTCACTGTCACAATCCCCAAAATTTAAAATGTTGACAGTGTCACAATTAAATAAATAACTTCTGAAATGGTAGAGAATAGCTTTCTGAAAGAAATGCCACCAAAAATGTGAAACAATGTAAAACTTACAGAATTACGAAGGCACAAATTTTGCTTTCTGCTCGCAAAATATGAATCTGTGATTTCTCCTACTTTCAGTACAGTATTATTTTAATCCAATTCCATTACTCAGTTCAATCTACACCTACCATCCGGCTTATGACCTGCTTGACATACGACCACTTGACTTACGACCATGTTTTGTATGGAAATGTTCTGGGAAATAAACAACTGTTTGTGTTTTACAGTGTTTTTTCTAAACCTTACAGTATAAAATACAGTACTAACAGCATAAAAAGTGAAGTAAAAATTTAAATACCAAAATAAAACAATAAAATAAAATCATTACTTAATATGATGCTGATATTCAGTAGTAAGGTTCGACTTACGTCCATTTTGACTTACGACTGGTTAGTCGGAACCAAGCTCGGTTGTAAGTTGGATGGTAGGTGTACTTCCTAGCTATTTTGCTAGTATGTCTTCCGTTCTGTCAAGCAGTCAAGCACAAGAAACTGCCCAATCATATCAGAACTACCCTATAAAATGCAGAGAAGTCAGTACATGTAATTTGGTCAGTTCTATACAAAATTCAACAACTTCCTATGTAAAAGCAGAGTCCAAAATAAATACTCTAGGCATTCCAGATGCTACATTAACCTTTCCTCTGTTAATGAGTCATGTCCCCAGGCCTCTCCTATATAACACTTGCCTTCCATTGAATCCATTATTTACCTTCTTTCTCAGATAGTAAAATACAGTGGACCCCCGGTTAACGAACTTTTTTCATTCCAGTAGTATGTTCAGGTGCCAGTACTGACCGAATTTTTTCCCATAAGGAATATTGTGAAGTAGATTAGTCCATTTCAGACCCCCAAACATACACGTACAAACGCACTTACATAAATACACTTACATAATTGGTCGCATTTGGAGGTGATCGTTAAGCGGGGGTCCACTGTATAACCAAAAATGAGTGATTGTGGTTTAAGACATCTTAAACCATGATGGGGCCCTACCCTTTCTCAGAAAAAGGGCCATTTCAGTCTACTTCTGGTCTGAAAATGACTCAAAATCATCTCTTATTTCACTAGTATGTTTTCGATTTTACAAATGTGACCAAAAAAACAGCCAATAAAACCATAAAAACTACCCTAGGAAACACTTCAAAGTTGCTATTTTAAACCAAACACAAAGTCATAGGTTTCTTTTTCTCATCTTGCATGGCATGGGTCAGGATTTTTATAGTGTGCACACCTACTACACAGACCCATTCTTTCATTTCTAGGCCAAAATTTAATGCCCACAACACATTTGAGGGCAGTGTGCTTCAAACATAGATTTATATGAGTGACACTGGTAATGTAGATCTACATGAGAGATAGTGAAAGGGTAAAGCAACAAATTGTAAAGTAAAATAGTTATTTTTTTTTGTTAGCTCATGTCTGATTTTTTCTTCAGATAATCGTCTCTTTGAACAAAGTGAATCCTTAAGAACTGAGAACCTGCAGCTCACTCTACAGAATGAGAAGCTTCGGCAAGAAAACACTAATTTACAAAGTCAAGGAGGTGGTGGTATCAATGGTGAAGGTGGAGGAGCTTCATCAATGGTTGTGCAAGTGAGTTAAAGTGGCTGAATATTCTCATAAATGGCTTATTATAATTAGTACATGTGCTCTTAAGGGATCATTTATGTGTTACGATTATAGTATGTGCAGTATTACCGTATATAATTTTAATTTGTTTACTCTGTGGGTATCCTAACAGCAGGGTTTGTATACTTTAAATTCATTAAAACCTGGAATTAAAATTTTATCTTAATAGTCCTTCAGAGTCTTTATTAATCTTTGAAATTTTGGGTACTTAGCTTTGTATTATTTTTTATTTTATAGTAGGGGAAAAAAATAAGTCTGAGAATCCAGTAATATAATACATCGTGAATAAAGACTTGACAATAATGTCACTGCCATGCTGAAATCAGCTGATGGTTATGATAAGGTCATCATTACCATTTAAATTATGAAAAAACAGGGAAGAAACAAAATTCAGCTCATTGCTGTATCTTCTCAGGTGGAACTAAAACTCAGTTGGAATTAAAACTAGATTGTCTGAACTAGTAACATATATGAGTTTAGTAATACAGTGGACCCCCGGCATACGATGGCATCGGTATACATTAAATCCGGTATACGATACATTTTAACGCAAAAATTTTGCCTCGCCACTCGTTAAAAATCCCGCCACATGCGATTCGTCCAGGAAGCATCCACGTGTGGCCTGAACTGCCCCGTGCGTGCAAGTGTTTACAAGCCAGCCAGTGTGCTTGCATCTAAGCATACATTCGGTACATTCCATATTATCACAGTGTTTTTGGTGCTTGTTTCTGCAAAATAAGTCACCATGGGCCCCAAGAAAGCTTCTAGTACCAACCCTGTGGTAAAAAGGGTGAGAATTAGTATGGAAATTAAGAAAGATTTTGAAGGGTTTGGGGCTAACCCTGAGAAGCCTATGCCAGTTGTGGAATCCATTGTGCCTACTTCAAAAATTAAGGAAATGTGTGCAAAGTGGGTTGAAGTGCAAACCTTTATGGATGAAAATCACCCTAACACAGCTATTGCAAGCCATGCTGGTGACTATTACAATGACAATGTTGTGGCCCATTTTAGACAAATCTTAAAGGAATGGGAGGTACAGACCTCTATCTGGAGAGAGTTCTGGATTTTATCTGGAGAGAGTTCCGGGGGTCAACGCCCCCGCGGCCCGGTCTGTGACCAGGCCTCCTTAGGTCAGTGTCCCAGGATGCGACCCACACCAGTCGACTAAAACCCAGGTACCCATTTTACTGATGGGGAACATAGACAACAGGTGGAAAGAAACACGTCCAATGTTTCTACTCTGGCTGGGAATCGAACCCAGGCCCTCACCGTGTGAAGCGAGAGCGTTAACCACCAGGCCACCAGAGCCTGGTCAGATTTGTTGTGCAACAGAGGTCCAGTCACTCTCAAGCTGGTCCTAGTGGCATTAAAAGAAGAAGGGAAGTAACCTGGAAAAGGACTTGTTACCTCAAGTCCTAATGGAAGGGGATTCCCCTTCTAAACATTAATAACTTCGACACTCTCCCCTCCTCCCATCCCATCAATCATCACCAGATCTTCATTAAAGGTAAGTGCCATATATTCTATTGTTAGTAGAGTACTACTAACTGTGCATGTCTTCTTCAGTTTGTGTGCATTAAACTTAATATTTCATGTGGTAAAACTTTTTTTTTTCATAATACTTTTGGGTGTCTTGCACGGATTAATTTGATTTCCATTATTTCTTATGGGGAAAATTAATTCGCCTTCCTATAATTTTGGCATACGATGAGCTCTCAGGAACGGATTAATATCGTATACCGGGGGTCCACTGTATATAGAATTGATGAGGGAAAAAAAGGTTAGTGGTGCGTTGAGGTATATGTGGAGACAAAAAACGTTATCTATGGAGGCAAAGAAGGAAATGTATGAAAGTATAGTAGTATCAACACTCTTATATGGGTATGAAGCTTGGTTTGTGAATGCAGCAGCGAGGAGGCGGTTGGAGGCAGTTTAGATGTCCAGTTTAAGGGTAATGTGTGGTGTAAATATTATGCAGAAAATTAGGAGTGTGGAAATTAGGAGGTGTGGAGTTAATAAAAGTATTAGTCAGAGGGCTGAAGAGGGGTTGTTGAGGTGGTTTGGTCATTTAGAGAGAATGGATCAAAGTAGAATGACATGGAGAGCGTTTATATCTGTAGCGGAAGGAAGGCGGGGTAGGGGTCATCCTCGAAGAGGTTGGAAGGAAGGGGTAAGGAAGGTTTTGTGGGCGAGGGGCTTGGACTTCCAGCAAGCATGCGTGAGCGTGTTCTGTTGGGGTGAATGGAGACGAATGGTATTTGAGACCTGACGATCTGTTGGAGTGTGAGCAGGGTAATATTTAGTGAAGGGATTCAGGGAAACCAGTTATTTTTATATAGCCGGACTTGAGTCCTGGAAATGGGAAGTACAATGCCTGCACTCTAAAGGAGGGGTTCGGGATATTGGCAGTTTGGTGGGATGTTGTGCATCTTTATACGTATATGCTTCTAAGCTGTTGTGTTCTGAGCACCTTTGCAAAAACAGTGATTATGTGTGAGTGAGGTGAAAGTGTTGAATGATGATTAAAGTATTTTCTTTTTGGGTCACCCTGCTTTGGTGGGAGACGGCCGACTTGTTAAAAAAAAAAAAAAAGAATACCATATTTTAACTAGTAACATGTCACAATGCAAGATACAACCTAACATCTGAAATTTCTGTCCTGTTTTTATTTTTCTGTAATGTAATTTATTTTAAACAAACTGGCCATATCCCACCAAAGAAAAACAAAAGTTTCTCTTTTTAAATTTAGCGATGTATACAGGGAAAGGGGTTACCATCCCCTTGCTCCCGGAATTTTAGTCGCCTCTTACGACACACATGGCTAATGGAGGAAGAATTCTGTTCCACTTTTGCATGGAGATAAGAGGAAATAAACAAGAACAAGAACTAGTAAGAAAATTACAGTGGAACCTCTACTTGCGAGCGCATCCACGTGTGAGTTTTTCCAAATATGAACAGTCGATGGGTCGATTTTTTACTTCCATATGCGAGCAAAATTTCCATAAGCAAGCAGACCTTAAGGCAGGTTCTTTGACACTGGTGAGGGACTCTTGCTCTTGATCTAGGGAATTGTATCTTATTTGTTTGTTGGACTATCTTATTGAAACTTGGGCAATGTATGATGGAAAGATGCTTCTTAACCCTTTCAGGGCTTTCGACGTACTAGTACGACTTACGCACCAGGTTTATTGACGTACTTGTACGCCTAAATTCTAGCACCTTCACATCTAGCGAGAGAAAGCTGGTAGGCCTATATATGAAAGAATGGGTCTATGTGGTCAGTGTGCACAGTATAAAAAAAGTCCTGCAGCACACAGTGTGTAATGAGAAAAAAAAACTTTGACCATGTTTTTGGATTAAAACAGCAACTTTGCACTGTATTTTCGTATGGTATTTATGGTTGTATTCTAGTTTTTCTGGTCTCATTTTATAGAATGGAAGATATCTTACAGAAATTGAGATGATTTTGACTGGTTTCACAATGAAAAGTACCTTGAAATTGAGCTCAAAGTAGCAGAAATGTTCGATTTTTACCAAAGTTCAAAAGTAAACAAATCATGCCAAGCGTCCAATACACGTCAACTGGTGAGTCTAATATTCTTTCACAAGTGCGCTGATATTATTTATACCATTTCTACACTAATGCAGTAGCCTGCATAATAGTAAATCTTCTATTTTTTGTAAGAATAAAAATTCAAAGTGGAAAGCAAAAGAAATATAAGAGGGGCCTGGGGACATGACTAATGAACAGAGAACTTGTTATTTTAGTGCCAGGAATGTCTTTCTTGTTTATTCTGGACCCTATTTGGAAATTGGCATCTTCTGAAATTTGTGTGAAATTGGCAAAATTGCCAGTTTCTAACCACTTTATTGGATAGTTGGAATTGGTAAATGGGCAGTTTCTTGTACTCATTTGATAGAAAAAATGGAGTTCTAGCGAAATAAATATGATTTTTGTTGACTAGTACACAGGAATTGGCCAAAAATAGGGCTCAAAGTGGGCGGAATTGCCAATGCGTAAACATCGGCAAGACCGCTAACTTCACGAGAGGATAATTCTGTAAGTTTTCCATCAAATTTCACACTTTTGGTGTCATTATGATCTGGAAAAGATTCTCTATCATTTCATAAGAAAAAATAATTTTTTTTTCCGAGAAATTTTTGACCCTGAGAATAAGTTTAGGAGAGGGCCTCTCAACCCTGAAAGGGTTAATGTACACCAAAAATGAAAGAAATCTAAGCATAAATAATGGAGTTCACTTCTCAGCAATTAGCCACCACTTAGTGGTATTTTTGTATGGTTTTTGTGGTTGTATTCTCATTTTTTTGGTCTCATTTGATTGAATGGAAGATATATTAGAGAAATAGATATGATTTTGATTGCTTTCACTATGAAAAGTACATTGAAATTGAGCTCAGCATAGGAAAAATATTCAATTGTTTTGGCTATGTCCATTCCAGTATGCAGTCGTGAATGGGTTGACATTATTTATACAATTATTTCAATAAGGCATAACAGTAATTCTTATATTTTTTGTGTGAATAAAAATTATAAGTTATTTATATTGTAATAATAATAATACATAATAATACAGTGGACCCCCGGTATTCGATGGCATCGGTATTCGATAAATCCGGTTTTTGATGCATTATATAGCAAAAAAATTTCCTCGGTATTCAATTGAAAACCCGGTATTCGATACAATTTGTACGAGACCTGTCCACGTGTGGCCTGAACTGCCCCGTGTGTGCCAGTGTTTACAAGCCAGCCAGTGTGCGCGCATGTAATGATACATTCGGTACATTCCATATTATCCATATTATCGCTGTGTTTGGTGCTTGTTTCTGCAAAATAAGTCACCATGGGCCCCAAGAAAGCTTCTAGTGCAAACCCTTCGAGAAAAAAGTCGCTAATGACTTATGAAATGAAGAAAGAGATAATTGCAAAGTACGAAAGTGGAGTG